TAATATCGCTATTTGTGCCGATGGGCTTCATAAATGTTTGTATCATGGCATCATACTAATTTTTGCTAGGGATGTAGGTTCTGCTCGAGAGTTATCGCAGAATGTGGAAGCGGCCCACAAGATCTGTAGCCTGCACATAGGGTACTGTTCTATCTTTCGGAATCACTCACTAACATGCAGGAGTATGTTGGGCCATGTTCAATAGCTATTCATCTATTACAAGCCATGGAAACCATAACCATTGACCAGGGCTGACTGGCAGCCCCCCTCAGTTCTATTCTCGATATGGCTTGCTCGTTGTCTAGTGAGGAGGGGGGCTCAGGGGTTCCATCTGTAGTGTGCTTGAGAACTAAATAAGTAAGTGTTGTTGTAATCAACGATCTCATGTCATATGCATCTTCTTCATTCTCCATCATCTCCCTTCTCGGTGAAAGGTGGTTGGTCGAGTCTTGAGTCTTTGGAATAAGCTTCTTCACTTTAATTATCTCAATCATTCATCGAAGAGTCTCCTATCATGATACAGGACATCATATAGAAGTAGTGGGCTTTATGCTCAAGAAGTAAGGTCGTTGTTGGACTATGGTTCAATGTAAAAATGAAAACTGTGCATAAGATCCAAGTTAGACAATGAGTTAACTTACATGGAAAAAAATATCTATCATGGTGAAGGGGCAGGACAAGCCTGAAGTCCTACCTAGCCTAGGCCAAATGGGCTAGATACACTTGGTGCTTGAAGGTTGCCAGTATCTTGAAGATCTTAATAGGATCTACTCCTCTAAATCCATGAGGGTGAGAAATACATAGAATTGTGGGGGCATCATAAATCTAATTTAGATCACTCGTAGTTCAGGCTGGACTCCAATTGCATTGAGGTTGTTGATATTTGGATCCATGTACATGAATGACTTTGCTTGTGACAATCATATTCAAGTGGAGTCACATTAATGATTAAAAATTTAATTTATCATTAAAAAATATTATGAGCACCAAGAAATATTTGTAATAATTAAAAGATAAGTTGATTTAATTATTTTTTTTGTTCAATATTGTTTGAATGGAATCATGATAAATATGAGGTATATTTGATATTAATTATTCAGAAATTGAGGAAGTACAATGAAGATTCAATAAGGGTGGTCTCTAAGGATGTATAATTTCATGATCTCTAAGAGGACATGAACGCATCTCTAATGCAATTAGTTGTGCAGTTGTTTTAGTGTATCAATAATATCTTCAAATTTTGATCTCTCAACTCTTGAAATTCAGTGAGATTGGATTTTGAGCAAAAGCATACTTTAGACGCATCATCATCATTAATATGAGCTGATTTTCTATGTGACATCTGTAAATCCTAGCTTAAAATGTTGACTTACTCTGATGCCAACTGATGCAATGAAACCTATCAAGTGGATGATTTGGGTGAGTTGGGAACAACACTAGCATTATGGAGACTGAAATCATGTCTTGAATTCTCAAAAAATGTGCTTCAATTGTGGTCCTCTTGTCCAAAACCTACATGTTTAAGATGATAGGTCCCTAGAGTTTAAGTCTATAGAATCAAGGAGCTGGGTTCCCTTAGTCCACAAGGCCATTAGAGTCCACCAATAGATGGAAAATACCTCAAAGAAGATGGAGCTCACAAAATTTATTAATTGAGAGCTGAAATGTCTTTTGGACAAATGGGGTTTTTTAAATAGGCCGAAGTCAATTAATTTCGCACCTCAATTTAAATTTAAAATAAAATTTGAAAATAGAAGTAGAATGAGAATAAAAAGGAGAATAAGAATAGAAAAGAGAATCAAAATAGAAATACTATAATAATAGAAAAGAACTAAACATAGATGAGAGATAAAAATGGAAAGATTTTACAATAAGAGGGAGATAAAAATAGTAAAAGCTAAAAACAAAAATATGAAAGGGAAATCCAAATGTGAACACACTCTAAAAATGTATTGTTATGGGCTCAATATAATCAGGCAAACTCTAACTTAAATCAATTTAGGGTGTCTATGCTTCTGCTTCACTTGATATGTAGACCTTATTTGGAGCTCTGCTCTACTTAAATCAATTTTCAACAGTCCTTAATTTGTGCCCCAAATGTTTTATGGTAATCGGGCCAAAACTTGAAGTTGGGGCTCTAACTTTTGTGTCTTGGGTTACATCATAAAGCTTGAAAGATCTTTTAGATCAAAATGTATTTTCTTTGTGAAAGGAATAGAAAAATATTTAGAATGTAATCTTATTGGTGATGAATGTTCATAACTAACTAGCCATGAAAGATAAGCTGAATTTACAGAGAAAATTAATTTTCAACCTTCTATTTAGTTCTATTATTGTTATAAGTTAAAATTATAAAAATAGTTAATAATTTGAATAATTGAAAGCTAATGGAACACATCTTTTAAGGATTCAAGTATCCATTACAGTGAAACCAATACAAATATATGTTACATGTTAACATGTATATTTACAGTTAATAAATCTAATATTTCTATATTAGTTCACTCTCATATAAATACCCTCAAAAATGTATTTCTTAGTAAAATAATTAGTTAGTAATAGAATTGAATGTAAATTTCAAAAATAAAATGTGAATAAGGAATATACACATGAATTATTATTTCAGTAGGAAATATCATTATTTTGAGTAATCATACCTTAAAGTCATTGTTCAATTAATATTATTTAATATTTAAAATTTTCTAAGAAGAGTGTAACTAATGTGGGTTTAATAAAATAATTTCTGTTGACATTGATCAGATTAATAATTTTAGACACTAACATCTATAACACTAATTAAACTTATATCCATGTGACATCTGATGCACTAATCATTAATTTTCATTAATGATCATTTGTCCAATTATAAATATGTACAACATCACTAAAAAAATTACCTTTTTAGAGTTAAAAAGATAGATTGATGCTGAACCATAGAAAAAATCCTGATGCTCATTTGCCGCTGAAAATTTAGTTGACTTTTTGTGAAGGACTATAATTGCTTGATTTGGTTCCCATGATGCCATACATTGGAGGAATGAAAATAGTTTTGTGATTCACATAGTCACCAATACTATGACTTACTATGGAAGGCTTCCACAGAAATGACTATCGTGCTTCTCTTTTTCATTGTCTTAAGAAAAAATAACTGATGTAATCAAGACTATGAGAGCATAACTCTGTGGGGCTTTGATTTGAGGAAGATGAGTGCTGTCATTCCCCGTCTTGCACAGCAGAAGATTGATGCAAACACATGAGAATGGAAGAGAGAGAGGTAAGAGTAGAGGGACACATCAGATACATGGTTCGGAGAATCTTCCTATGCCCATATTCACCAATGTTCTTCTTCCTTCAGGAATTAAGTATCGTCTCACAACCTTCTGTGAGACTTGCAAGACACGAACACATACACACACTGACATAGACAGTTGCTTCCCCCATTCATATCACAGGGCTAGAGGAAATATATGGAGACAAATGACACATGTGCCCCTAAAATCGAATTTTGCTCCAGAGGACATTGGCTCTCTTGAGCCCCCGGCCATGGGGGCACTGGCCCAAGGGCCACTGCTAATTCACAATGGATTTGGATCCACGCAATCACTAAAAAGCCCATTAGATCCGATTACGACCTAATAGATCATTCCCTACGACTCCAACAGTTTGAGCTTCTTCTAATGTTCTAAAACATTCATTCATCTAAATGTAGGATTTACCGCAGATTGAGATTACATGCGGGGAAGACCTATGGTAGTGTTAAAGTAGACACATTGTCAATCAGTATATGTGTAATAATACATGTAAACAAATATTTTTCTTTCTAATGTAATGGTTACCTCCACCTAAGAGGAGGGATCGTTAGTATCCCTCCTCTGCCCAACAGAAGCCGCCTAGTGGGCCCCAGTGTACTCCATCCACATAGCTTATCGTTCCCTAATATCATACTTTGTCAGCTCATCCCATACCTCCTTATTGAGGATCAATTCCACCGATTTATTTCCATCTGCAATATCTCTGACATAACCATCCGCACCGAGCCACTGCTCATCCAATCATTGACAACTGGTCCACATGTCAAGAAGAAGAAATTGAAGTTTGGGTGTCGTTCGTTTCGCTTATAACCTTATTATTTTTATTTTTACCCTCGTTTTGCCTATCAGATCCATATCCGGATCGGATTGTTGCCGGATATGTGTCCCTTACCTGATGCGCCTTGTCCCTTTCGGGTGACGATCAAGCCCCTCTTTGCCTCCTAAGTAGCTCCTGCTGGGGATGTGCCAGGCTAGGCCGAGCCAGGCTTAGGAGGATCTGGCCCGGAGCCCGATGTATTGACCCCGAACCATACGTCAGCACAAAAAACAATGGTAAATTTAGGAATTTAGGTGATGCCAGTAGAAGTACCCCCATTCAAAATTTGACTAGTCACAATAATATTGTAGAAACTCGAGTCCGCACAATCTTTCTGTCATTGTTATTGACTTTAGGTGTCACGAAGACTAAAAATACAGATGCAGAAGTCAGAGAGGAGACAGTAGAGAACACAGATGGATTGAGATGTTGGGGAACGGTAAAGCCGTCCACAATTTTCAGAACTTATCCACTCACATAACTTTATACGAGTCTGGTCAAAAGGTCAATACGCGCTGGCCTTATCCATGCATCAGCTTCAATGGTTCACTGTCACTCAAGCTGCCCATTGGCTCGATACGTCGATGACCGAAGGCGACCTCTCGCCAGTGCCGACGTGGTGTGTCCGGGTTGATCGACCATTACCCTAGGCCTGCTGTCAACATTAGTGCCGACGTAGATTATGTGGCATCTTCAATAAAACCCGACATTAAGGCGTTAACACCTAAAGCTGATCAACCGACGTGTGTTAGTGTAATACATCTGTTCTTCTGTCTATATAATAGGAGCCCCAGGGCGTCCTCTCTCTTCACCTAATCTCTCTCTCTCTCTCTCTCTCTCTCATCCTCGTCCTCCTCAAACTTGCTTTGCTCATGGCTCGCGTCAAAGTGTTCCCCGTCGTCTTGCTGCTCGTTATGGTCGTCTCGCTGCTCATTGCCACAAGTAATCCTCCACTCTCTCCATTGGGGATCACTTGGGAGTAATTTCATTTTATCTAGGAATTTCATTTACACGGTTCTTCCTTGTTGTGAATTGATCATTTAACATATAATTAATTCTCCTCAAATAAAGCATGATGTTAATAGCATCGCTATCTGTGCCGATGAGTTTCGTAGATTTTCGAATCATGGGATCAAACTAATTTTTGCCGTGGACGTAGGTTCTGCTCGAGAGTTATCGCAGAATGTGGAAGCGGGCCACAGGCTTTGTAGCCGGCACATGGGGTTCTGCTTTCCCTTTAGGAGTTGCCAAATGATCTGCAAGAGGGCGGGTTACTTTCGGGGATCGTGCCAGGGCCATTTTCGACCTCAATGCATCTGCTACAAGCCATGCAAGCCGTAGTCAACGGGGCCTGACTGGCAGCCCCCCTCAGCTCTGTTCTTGGTATGGCTTGCTCGTTGTCTGCTGCGGAGGGGGGCTCAGGGGTTCCGTAATCGAGAACTAAATAAGTCTGTAGCGTGCTCGAGAACTAAATAAGTGAGTGTTGCCGTAGTCAACACCACGTGTTGTATGCGTCTTCTTCATCGTCTGTCATCTCCTTTCTCGGTGAAAGGTGGTCGGTCGAGTCTTGAGCCCATGGAATAAGTTTCTTCCCTTGAAATATGTATGTCGTTCTTCAAATCGTCTCCAATCTTGATACACGACATGAGATAAAAGCAGTGGGCTTTATCCTCTAGAAGTAAGATCGTTGTTGGACTATGGTTCAAAGTAAATGTAAAATTGTGCTTGAAATCCTAGTTAGCCGACGATTTCATTAACATGGAAAAAAATGCTAAAGGTGGTGAAGGGCAGGACAAGCCCGAAGTCCTGCCTGGCCCAGCCCAACGGGCTGGATGCGACCGATGCTCTGGGGTTGCCAGCAGCTTGAAGATCTTAAAATTTATCTATGCCTTTAAAACCATCAGGGTGAGATACACAGAATTGTGGGGGAATCACAAGTCCCATTTAGATCAGTCCCAGTTCGGGATGGACTCCGGTTTCATTCGGGTTGTTAGTATATACACGTACCTGAATGACTTTGCTTTTGACACAGCCATATTGTCTAGTGGATTCACATTGATGTTGAAACATCTAATTTATTATTCAAAAGTATTAATCATGATAGATGAGCTCCATGAAATGATTGTAATAATTAAAAAATGAGCTAATTTAATATTTTCATTAGTTCAATATTACCTTAAAGGAATTATTACATAATATTCAATTAGGTAAATATGAGGATATACTTGATACTAATTATCAACTTTTGAGGGTCCAAAAGGACCTCAGAGGCTTACATTAGACAACTAATATATAACAGCGATCCAAATTTTGATCGCTTTTATACAACTTTTGAGGGTCCAAAAACCCTAAACCCTACAAGGATCCTAATTTTACTCCGTTGACGAATATATCTCACGGTGGAAAATTTTATTCTTTTTAAGTAATACAACAAGATGTGTAAATTTTACATATATTGACCTTTAGTGCCACTCTAAATGTTCATACAACGTGGGATTAGGCTATTGATACTGATAAAGTCGTCGAGAACATTTTGATTAGATATGGAAGCCACAAAGTAACAAGTACAAGAGGAGCAAGAGAATGTAGTCATCCCGAGAGCAAAGATTGCCACGCCCTTCCCCGTCGCTACATCTTCTGTCAAAGCCTTCCGAAGAATCGTGATTGGGGTTGAGGGTAGCTGTGTTGGGTCCATGCCTTTTAGTATCCATCCCGAAGCCTTATATGCAACCATATTCACGCCGGATACAACTCGGCCCTTAAAACGAATGGAGAAGTCACAGTTTGAGAAGTCAGCAGAACTATGAATGAAATTAGACTGTGCGCAGCTCGCACGTGACTGAGCCTGCGTGGCACTAAGAAAGAAAATGAGATATATTGACCAGTGCGATACCGTAAATCACTTTGGAAGATAGGAACACGACAGAAGAAGACGAAGAAAATAACACCGAGTGAGACAGATCGGTGGATTGAGATGAAGCGAACTCAGGCTAGGTCGGACTCAGGCTTGACTTATCTATCCACCTGCCCCCATATTAGGTGGGATGTCGCTCGTACACCTGCAGCCGCCTTGTTAGCTAATGTTACTCTTGCCGCTTGTTTATCGGACAAGTTTTTTGTTTGATAGTTCACCTACGGCTTTTATTGCGTACAATTTTGATAGGGATATATCGTCCTCGTCTTTTATAACCTGGTATAAACGTTCACAAAGTGTAAACATGATAAAAAGTCCATGAAAACGGGTACTACGGCTGTTCCTGTGTCTATGTAATAGGAGTCCCAGAGCGGCTTTTCACTCCATCTAATCTCTCTCTGGCTCCCTCAGCTTCGCCTTTCTCAAGCTTGGTTTGCCCATGGCGCGTCCAAGTGTCCGCCGTCATTTTTCTTCTCGGAATGGTCCTTTAGCTGCCAATTCCACAGGAAAATCCACCACTCCATCCATTGGGGACCACTCGACCGTAATTTCATGCGACTAGAATGTAGGCAAGTTAGAATACTTTGACTGTAATTACACCAAATAAAATATGTGCGTAAATTATGCGGGTCTTACTTTCTTCTTTCCGATTAATATAATGGCTAGAATAATCTTTGCTGCAGTCTAATAAAATATAACGGCTTATAATGTTCGTCTCTGCCTCTGTATCGATGGTTCTCAAGTCCAAACTCAATCGCGCGACTCGATGATATCGCACTAAGTTTTCCTGTGGACGTAGGTGGTGCTCGTCTGGTGGAGAAGACTGGAGCTCGCCCAGAGGACCTGTAGAAGGTTTAGCCGAAAGTTCAAGGGACCCTGCTGAAGCCCTCGCTACGGTTCCATAGCCTGCCGGGGGGAGAGGTACCGCTGGGGAGAATGTCGGAGTATCTTTCGGCGTGCATGCTACTCCGTCAACCCCTGATACTGTATCTTGATGGGGGATATGATAGACAATCGGTGGGTTTCGTCCGCAAGAGGATAGATCGTCTTCAGGGCAGCGACAAGGATGCACTCTATTGATACTATGAATGGTAGAAAAATATAAAGGTAACATAGCCCTTGAAACGGTTCACTTGTGGACCGCTTCTCGCGAACTGAAAAGGCCAATAAATGAGCTAACTTGAACGGACGGATTTGGCCCAAGAAAACGGCCCAAACGAGTTAGCGGAATCAAAGCCACGTTTACAAAACAAGAACAGCCCACCGAGGGATACAAGTCCCCATTAGTGTATATTCTTCTTTTTGATACAATGGTTGCCTCCATCTATGAGGAGGGATCGTTACTATCCCTCTGCGCAACAGTAGCCCACTAGTGAGACTCCAGTGTACTCCTTCCACATAGCATATCGTTTCCTAACATCATACTTTGTCAGCTCATCCCGTACCTTCTTATTGAGGTTCAATTCCTCCGATTTATCTCCATCTGCAGCGTCTCTGTCATAACCATCCGAACCTTGCCACTGCTCATCCAATCAATGGCAACTGCTCCACGTGTCAAGAAGAAGAAATTGCAGTTTTTGCATCGTTCGTTTCGTTTATAGCCTTTTTATTATTAATTTTCCCCCCTCGTTTCGCCTACCAGTTCTATATCCTGATCGGATTGTTGCCCGATATAGGCCCCTTACCTGATGTGCCTTATCCCTCTCGGGTGACGATCAAGCCCCTCTTTGACTCCTAAGCAGCTCCGGCCGGGGATGTGCCGTGCAAGGCCGACCCAGGCTTAGGGGGATATGCCCCAGACCGATGTATTCACGCCGAACCATACCTCAGCGTAAAAGATAATGACAAATTTAAGAACTTAGGTGATGGCAGTGAAGATATTGTCTTCCAAAATTTGATTAGTCACAGTAATATTGTAGAAACTCGAGTATGCACAATCTTCCTGTCACTGTTATTGACTTTAGGTGTCACGAAGAATAAAAAAATAGATGCAGAAGTCAGGGGGGAGACAGTAGGGAACACAGATGGATTGAGCTGTAGGGGAACGGTGAAGTCATCCTCAATTTTCAGGACTTATCCACCCATACAGCCCTATATGAGTCTGATCAAAATGTCAATACGGTCTGCCGTTATCCTTCCCTCGGCTTCAATGGTTCACCGGCATTCTAGCTGCTCATTGGCTAGACTAACGTCGATGACCGAAGGCGACCTCCAGGAAGTGCCGACGTGATGTGTCCGGGTGGATTGACAATTACCCTAGGGCTGCTGTCAACCTTAATGCCGACGTAGATTAAGTGACATCTTTCATAAAACCCGACATTAAGGCATTAACACCTGAAGCTGATCAAACGACGTGTGTTAAAGTGTAATACATCTGTTCTTCTGTCTATATAATAGGAGCCCCTGGGCGTCCCCTCTCTTCACCCAATCTCTCTCTCTCTCTCTCTCTCTCTCTCTCTCTCTCTCTCTCTCTCTCGCTATCTCTCTCTCATCCTCGTCTTCCTCAAACTTCCTTTGCTCATGGCTCGCGTCAAAGTGTTCCCCGTCGTCTTGCTGCTCGTTATGGTCGTCTCGCTGCTCATTACCACAAGTAATCCTCTACTCTCTCCATTGGGGATCACTCAGGACTAATTTCATCTATCTTACCACAAGCATATTAAAATGGTCGCTAATAGTTGAACTAAATTAAATCTGTGCATACACTGCACTATTCTTCCTTATTGTGAATTGATCCTTTAACATATAATTATTTCTCCTCAAATAAAGTAGAATGTTAATAATATTGCTATCTGTGCCGATGTGTTTTCATAAATGTTCGTATCATGGCATCATACTAATTTTTGCCGTGGACGCAGGTTCTGCTCGAGAGTTATCGCAGAATGTGGAAGCGGGCCACAGGCTCTGTAGCCGGGCCATAGGGTTCTGCTCTATCTTTCGGCATTGCTCAATAACCTGCAGGAGGTTTGGTTATGTCCGGGGAGGGTGCCAGGGCCATTTTCGCCCTCAATGCATCTGCTACAAGCCATGTAAACCGTAGTTACCGGCCAGGGCTGACTGGCAGCCCCTCTCAGCTCTATTCCCCTTATGGCTTGCTCGTTGCCTGGTGTGGAGGGGGGCTCATGGATTCCATCTGTAGCGTGCTAGAGAACTAAATAAGCGTGTGTTGTTGTAAACTACAACCTCGTGTTGTATGCGTCTTCTTTATCTTCTATCATCTCCGTTGTCGGTAACAGGTGGTCGGTCGAGTCTTGAGTCACATGGAATAAGCTTCTTTGCTTTGTATATCTCTGTCGTTCTTCAAAGCGTCTCCTATCTTGATGCATGACATCATCAAGGAGCAGTGTCCTTTATCCTTAAGAAGTAAGATCGTCGTTGGATTATGGTTCAAAGTAAAAGTAAATGTTGTGCTTGAAATCCAAGTTAGCCGACGACTTCATTTACTTGGACAAAAAGGGGTAAGGTGGTGAGGGGGCAGGACAAGCCCGACGTCCTGCCTGGCCTAGCCCAACGGGCTACATACGCCCGACGTTTGTGGATTGCCAGCAGCTTGAAGATCTTAAAACGTTCTTGCTGCTGGCAATCCACAAGCGTCGGGCGTATGTAGCCAATGTTCTTGTGGACTGCCAGCAGCTTGAAGATCTTCATTTACGTCCGCTTCCACATCAGATTTGCGGAATCCACCTATACCCATATTCGCCAATGTTCTTCTTCCTTCAGGAACAAAATATCATCTCATAACCCACTGTGAAACATGCCACACTGCACTCACACACACACAGACCACCACTGACAGACGGTGGCTTTCCCCCACTCTTATAAGAGGGTTAGGGGAAATATGCCCTTATAACCAAATTTGGCACCGAGGGGCATTAGCTCGATTGACACCCCCGCCGAGGGGGCCCTGCCCCCTGGGCCCACTGCTAACTCACCGTAGATTTGGATCCACCTACTCACTAAAAGGCCCATTAGAGCCCATACGACCTAATAGATCATTCCCTACAACTCCAACACTTTTAGCTTCTTGAAACGTTCTAAAAAATTCATTGATATAAACGCAACATGTAACGCAGGTTTAGATTACATGCATAAGACTAATGATAGTGTGAATTAATGTATATATATACATATAAACACGAACTCTACTTTGTGATATAATGGTTGCCTCCATCTACGAGGAGAGATCGTGACTATCCCTCCTCTGCCCAGCAGAAGACCCCTAGTAGACCCCCAGTGTACTCCCTCCACATAGCATACTGTTTCCTGACATCATACTTTGTAAGCTCATCCCACACCTCCTTATTGAGGTTCAATTCCTGCGATTTATTTCCATCTGCAAGATCTCTGTCATAACCATCCCACTGAGCCACTGCTGATCGAATCATTGGCAACTGCTCCATATTCGGATCGGATTGTTGCCCGATATGGGCCACTGTGCCTTGTTCCTCTCGGGTGACAATCAAGCCCCTCTTTGCCTCCTAAGCATCTCTTGCTGGGGATGTACCTGGCTAGGCCGACCCAGTCTTAGGGGGATCTGGCCCTGAGGCCGATGTATTCACGCTGATCTATTCGTCAGCGTAAAAAACAATGGCAAATTTAGGAATTTTTGTCCTGCCGTGGAGATATTCTCAATTCAAAATTTGACTACTGACAATAATATTGCAGAAACTCGAGCCTGCACAATCTTCCTGTCACTGTCATTGACTTTAGGCGTCACGAAGAAGAAAAACACAGATGAAGAAGTCAGGGAGGTTAACACGGATGGATTGAGATGTAGGGAAACGGTGAAGTCGTCCACAATTTCGTGGAATTATCCACCCACGTAGCCCTATATGAGTCCGATCAAAGTGTCAATACGGGCTGGCCTTATCCATGCATCGGCTTCAATGGTTCACTGGCACTCTAGCTGCTCATTAGCAAGACTAACGTCGATAACCGAAGGCGACCTCTGGCCAGTGCCGGCGTGGTGTGTCCGGGTCGATTGACCATTTAACTAAGGATGATATCAACGTTAATTAAGTAAAATATTTCATAAAACCCGACATTAAGGCGTTAACACCTGAAGGTGATCGAACGGCGTGTGTTAAAGTGTAATACATCTGTTCTTTTGTCTATATAATAGGAACCCCAGGGCGTCCCCTCTCATCATCCGATTTCTTTCTCTCTCTCTCTCTCTCTCTCTCTCTCTCATCCTCGGCTTCCTCAAACTTGCTTTGCTCATGGCTCGCGTCCAAGTGTTTCCCGTCGTCTTGCTGCTCGTTATGGTCGTCTCGCTGCTCATTGCCACAAGTAATCCTCCACTCTGTCCATTGGGGATCACTCGGGAGTAATTTCATTTATCTAGGATTTAGCATATTAGAATAGTCGCTAGTAGCTGAACTAAATTAAATCTGTGCGTACATTACACGGTTCTTCCTTGTTGTGAATTGATCATTTAACATATAATTAATTCTCCTCAAATAAAGCATAATGTTCATAACATTGCTATCTGTGCCGATGGGTTTCATAAATGTTCGTATCATGGCATCATACTAATTTTTTCCGTGGACGTAGGTTCTGCCCGAGAGTTATCCCAGAATGTGGAAGCGGGCCACAGGCTCTGTAACCGGCCCATAGGGTTCTGCTCTATCTTTCAGAATTGCTCAATTACGTGCAGGAGGGCGGGTTACGTTCGAGGAGTGTGCCAGGGCATTTTTCCCCGTCGATGCATCTGCTACAAGCGATGCAAGCCGTAGTCATCGGCCAGACCTGACTGGCAGCCCCCCTCAGCTCTGTTCCCGATATGACTTGCTCGTTGTCTGGTAAGGAGGGGGGTCAAGGGTTCCGTCTGTAGCGTGCTCAAGAGGGTAAATAAGTGAGTGTTGTTGTAATCAACAACCTCGTGTTATATCGTCTTCTTCATCCTCTATCATCTCCGTTGTCGGTAACAGGTGATCGGTCGAGTCTTGAGTCCATGGAATAAGCTTCTTCGCTTTAAATGTATCTGTCGTTCTTCCAAGCGTCTCCTATCATGATACAGGACATCATATAGAGACAGTGGGATTTATGCTCAAGAAGTAAGGTCGTGTTGGACTATGGTTCAAAGTAAAAGTAAAAATTGTGCTTGAGATCCAAGTTAGCCGACAATATCATTTACACGGAGAAAAATACGTAAGGTGGTGAAGGGGCTGGACAAACCCCAAGTCCTGCCTGGATATGCCCGATGCTTGGGGTTTGCCAGAATCTTGAAGACCTTAAAAGGATCTATGCCTCTAAACCCATCAGGGTGCGATCCATAGAATTGTGGGGCATCATAAATCCAATTTAGATCAGTCCTAGTTCTGGCTGGACTCGAGTTGTATTGAGGTTGTTGGTATTTGGATACACGTACAGGAATGACTTTTCTTGTGACACAGGGATATTCTAGTGGAGTCGCATTGATGATTAAAAATTTAATTTATCATTCGAAAATATTAATCATGCTATACGAGCACCATGAAATGATTGTAATAATTACAAAATAAGCTCATTTAATATTTTCATTTGTTCAGTTGTCTCAATGGAATCATTAGATAGTATTCAATTAGATAAATATGAGGGTATATTTGATAATAATCATTGAGTAAATGAGGAAGTTACACAATTGTTTTGCAGTGGGTTTAGTATTTTGAATCTTGTTGGCTGCTTGCTTTCAAGGCGTCATTAGCAGAGCATAATAATTATCAACGTTTGAGGGTCCATAAGAACCTCAGAGGCTAATATTAAAAAACTAATGTATAAGAATGACGGCATTGTCTTGTTTGTAACCTTACAAGGAGCCTATTTTTTGTGAAGCATCTGAGGATTTCTTTCATCAAGTAACTAATATGTCCCACGGTCGAGAATTTTATCCTTTTTTTGGTAATCCTCCAAGATGTCTAAATTTTACACATGTTGACTTTTAATGCCACTCTAAATGCTCACACAATGTGGGATTAAGCTATTGATACTGTTAAAGTCGTCCGGAACATTTTGACTGATGACGGAAGCCACAAAGTAATAAGTACAAGAGGAGCTAGAGAAAGTAGTCATCCCAGGGCAGAGACTTCCACTTCCTTCTCCGTCGCTGCATCTTCTGTCTCCACTACATTTATTTTGTTCACATTTTATAATGCGATACCTCCTATTCATTATCATCCCCTCCCCCATCCAGTCAAATCTGGTTGGCCACTATCCTGCTGACTGTGCAGCTATTTGCCACAAGCTATGCCTCCTTGAAGAACAACGGACAAACCGTGAAATGCAAGAACGGTTGTCCACAATTTCGATATCAGCACCTGCCTCATACAAAAAGGAAAAGGATTTCTGGGACAGCATTACGACTTTATAAAGTAATCGTGCATTAGAGTTGAAATGTACTCATATATCCTTGGGAATTTCACATAGATATACAAATTTTACATGGTTGTGAATATACCCGTATATTATTATTACTTTTGCAAAAAATAGCATGTCTCTTTGATCTGGAGATTTCACAAATCTAATCTCTATCAGGAACCGGTTCGGCATTTTACCAGATTTGGGTTCCTGATGTATTCCCCTCATCTTCATATTCTGCGGCACACTGATTGTTCTTCATATTCTGCGGAACAACTGGAATCGATGTCCCGGCACACTGATCGTTCACCTGCGGCTGTTAACGCGTACAATTTCAATAGGGATATATGGTCCTCGTCTTGTATAAACTGGCATTAACGTTCACAAAGTGTAAACATGATAAATAGCCCATGAAAACTGGTAGTACGGCTGTTCTCTCTGTAGTAGGAGTCCCAGAGCGGCTTCTCTCTGCATCTCATCTCTCTATCTCTCTCTCTCTCTCTCTCTCTCTCCCATCTTCGCCTCTCTCAAACTTGGTTTGCCCATGGCGGGTGTCATCTTTCTGCTAGTAATGGTCCTCTCGCTGCTCATTACCACAAGTAATCCTCCACTCCATCCATTGAGGACCACTCGACCGTAAATTCATGCGACGAGAACGCTGGCGTATTAGAATAATTTGACTGTAGTTGCACGAAATAAAATCTGTGCTTCAATTATGTGGGAATTTCTTCTTACAATTTAATCTGATGGCTAGAATAATCTTTACTGCCGTCTAATAAAGTATAACGGCTTATGAAGTTCGTCTCTGCCTCTGAACCGATGACATCGTGCTAATTTTTCATAGATCCTCGATGAGGGAGAAGTCGCTTACGTGACAGCCAGCCATGTAAGGCCATGCACAATGAGGTATGCCTACTTCTACCACTTCTAAGGCTATAAGACATTGAATGATGAGGCTTCAATATTTTAAACAGAATATTTTAATGGCTGCTAAATTCAGTGTAACCTTTACTAGATTTAAAATATTGGGGGGACTGACAAAACGATAGCTCACTTCTTTGTTCTAGATTCGCAACTGAAGGAAACTAAATCTAAAAGCCAAACTTTTCCCTCATAGATTCAACTCAGGATGGTCAACAACATCAGCTTCTACTAATCTTGATATATATATATATCTATATATATATATATATATATTACGGCCTTAAATGAAAGCTAGTGAACAACTAAAGTCTAAGTTCAGTCCTAATCATCATGGAGGCTTCTTACTCTATTTTCGTCATTAGAGAAGCTTGTCTGGAGCAGTGTTTGAAACTTTAAAGGAGCTAAGTTTGATGAAACATTAAAGATACGTGTTCAGACTTGCAATAGTTTGGTGCAAACTTGTTGCAAGAAACATGTGCAATGAAGCTCACTCTAGATTTAGGTAAAATGCCACTCTCGTTCTTTCCCTGACTCTCTTTTACTTTGGATGAGCAGGGGTTTCTCTATATATAGATACATAGTTAGGCGACTTTGGATTTCCATAATGATGGGACATGATTGGTCAATGTGTCAGACCCTATGTTTGCAATTTGAATTGTAGAAAGGTTTGTTCTTGTAAAATCTATGAAAATTCAATACTTCCAAATTTAATTATAGAATTTGTTGAATTATGTTTCTCTTCCAAAGAGATCTTTCTGATCAGTCCATGCCTCAATTAGTGACACCATTACCACAAAAGGTGATTAACTTTAACTGCAGGCATATAGAATGATTGTTTTAAACCTAATTAAAAAATTTAATATCTATATGCATAGATTGTGACATTTTTCACCTTTAGTAAATTCTCTTTAGGTAGAGAAACGTTTTAAAATACTCAGTAACAGATATTATCTATAGACAATTCTACCACTTATGAAGTTACTTACATACCCTTCTGTAGATGTTCATCATCAAAACAACTCATACTCTCAAAAACCTTGCAAATGAACATAAGAGACTTTAGATGACAACATGATTGAGCAAGACAGATTGGCACCATCTTATCTAATCAAAATTAGGGCTTTAGATGAACCTCAGTGCTAATGTACTCCAACTATTAAGAGTAGAATTTGTAATTCCTCCAGACGTTCAGTTCCTTACTTCTTACAGGTTTTAATCCTTTGGTTTCCCTGTTTGCATAATATTTGTTTAGATATTCACTTTTGTATAAATTGACATTAACAGTGAAGTTTAGCCCCGGAGAATGAAGCAATTACGTAGCCTTTCAAGAAAAGGAAATTGTGTAGACGTCCCGGGGTGGGGCAGCGGGGTCGCAACCGCTAGATTGCCCCTGCGCCACTGGGTCATCAGATTCGCGCCCTTTCTCGCGTATCCGCCTGTTGGGGCACATAAGCAACGGGTTTGTCTTTTAGTAGTTTCTCCCGCCATAATCTCTCTTGCCGATTTCCTTTCTTTCGCTCTCTTCTCTCTCTCTCTCTCTCTCTCTCGCTCTCTCACTCTCTGTGGCGGCCCCGCCGGCGTCCCCGTGTTCCTTCTCTTTCGTCCGTCTTGCGCCTCTGACGAGGGGCGGTGCTGGTTTTCCTCCGCCGACTCCGTGGAGGCGAGTGGCGGAGCACGGCGCAGATCGGCAGGAAGACGAACAGAGCAGTCTCCGAGCTACCTGCTCCCGTGGGAGATTCAGACTGGCCCAAAATTCCCGGCGCAGCGTGCGGCTTCCACCGGTGCGCATCTTTTTCACTCCTTCCGCGTATCTCCGGACCTCTCCTTCTTCTTTCCATCTTTTCCTTGCCGAATATCGCTAGCTGTTTTTTGTATCTTTCTGTGCCGATCCTTTTTTCTCTGGCAATCCCCGTCGTCGCCTCTTTCCACTGCCTCGTGGGCCTCTGATTCCGTTCCCTCTCTCTGTCTCTCCTAGAATGACCCCTTGTCCTCGCTTCTTCTCGTTCAGGCTTCTTGCAACTCAATTTAAGCTCGAGGAGAAAAGGAAAAACCTGGCTGCGATAGGTGGCACTTTCAGTGTTCTACAACTAAAAGACCGTGTAGAGGCAAGTTGACACTGTATAATTCAGTATTTCTACTACCAATGTGCAGTAGAAACTAAGTAGAGATATCTTAAAGTGTTAGATAGATTGAGGCTGAACCATAGGAAAATTTTTGAAGTGCATTTGTCGCTGAAAATTTAGTTAACTTTTTGTGAAGGTCTATAATTACTTGATTTGGTTCCCATGATGCCACACATTGGACGAATGAAAATAGTTTTGTGATCGACATAGTCACCAATACTATGACTTACTATGGAAGGCTTCCACAGAAATGACTATGGTGCTTCTCTTTTTCATCTTGTCTCAACAACAAATAATTGATGTAATCAAGACAATTAGAGCATAACCCTGTGAGGCTTTGAGTTGGAGAAGACGAGTGCTGTCGTTCCCCGTTTTGCACAGCAGAAGATTGATGCAGACACATGAGAAAGAAAGAGATAGAGGTAAGAATTGGGAGACATCAGATGCATGCTTTGGAGAATCCTCCTATGCCCATATTCACTAATGTTCTTTTTCCTTCAGGAACAAAGTATCGTCTTACAACCCTCTGTGGGACTTGCCATACAGTAACACATGCACACAATAACATAGACAGTGGTTTTCCCCCACGCTTATCACAGGGTTAGAGGAAATATATAGAGAGAAATGACACGTGCCCTTAAAACCCAATTTTTCTCTTAGGGGCCTGGGCTCTCTTGAGACCCTTTGATAAGTCTTCATTATCATGAGTTAATAATTAGTAAATAATATAGTTTTAGCCTTAACTCATGATAAATAGACTTATATTTGTGTTAAAGTGTGAAAAGTGGTTTTCAGTTGATTAACGTGAATTTTTTGGTAATTATGTGATTTTATACAATTTTTACAATCTTACTTTTGAGATAAATAAAGAACAAGAAATAAAAATAAAAATATTGCAAAATGGGAGACCCGCCGGCCAGCCAGGCCCACAAGTGGGTCGGAAGCTCAGTTGGGGAGTAGCCGCAAGTAGGGGCTCGAGCGGCTTGGACCGATGGGGGCACGTGTGCGCCACTCCCCTTCCACGTCACCGGTGGCCAGCCGGCTGTGGGGCAAGGAGTGGTCGTACACGCGAGAGAAGGAACTTTGCTTAGAAAGCTAACATTAATATATATTCGTCCGAAAAATCGGCGCACAACTGATGTGGGACTAAACTTGTGTCACACCTTCCTCAGAAGGGGCGGACAACTGGCGCGGGTTCGAATCCTCCCAGAGTCAAAATTCATATATTTTTATCTGATTATCGTGACTTTCCTGCAGATCGCCGGTGAAGGATTAAGCAACGAGAATTACTGGATCATCGGCGAAAATCTCGTCAACACGATTCGCGGAGCATTGCTACTAAAATTGCTGAACGATTGGCGATAAAAGGATCGCGAATCCATTGAGTAAATCATCTCCGATTGATCGACGAACAAGCTGTCGTCGAGAAAAGGACGATCCGCCGGGAGACGAGTCGCCACCTCCTGAGAGCGTACCAGATGCGATGAAGAGCCTCCTCTTGCTGCACGGACCTGAGGATGAAGCTCCCTGACATGTGCCCCACCTCCATCCAGCTCCTCTCTGTCGGGTGATAGCCGCCGGAGAGCCGCAAAGTCGCCGTTTTTCCGCTCCGCCGGGTGACAGCCGCCAGAGATGACTCGACGACCCATTTCATTAATCTCTAGACTTTGCGAGAAGATCTAGGGATTGCCCACGTCGTCTTTGTCCAAGGAGAGCCTTCAAGGCCGTGGACACTACACGAAAATCCTCCTGAACGCTCAGGATTCTGGTGCATCGCCGACGCATCGCCATCGCGACGCTGGAACTTTGTTTTCCTGCTTTCAACTTACTTTACGCTTCATTTAGTGATATTTTTTGTGATTTTAATTTACCAAAATATACTTTGTTCTATTACGATTCTTCCGACTTTTACAGATCTTAATTTGATTAATTAAATCGTCTGTAATCGCTTACATAAGAATCGCCAGGCAGAACTCTGTTTCTGCTCGATTCACGTTTGCCAGGCGCTAATGTCATCTTGACTTCCGCACCCTTATTTCCTTTTTTCGTGAATTTTAAATATATTTCCTTTTCATTTCCTAGTATACAATTAATAGAAAATCGTATTCATTGAGAAAAATTCTGAATAATTACCATATATTATATTACATCCCTGTGATCGACCTAAAAAATTACCGCTATTTTTGGAAGTTTTATTGAATTATAATTGATATATTTGTTTAGAAATACTTCTAAATATCTAAAAATTCGTATTTTCTAGTTTTATAAATTTTATATTTGCGTGATTTAATATACAACGACTAAGTCACGTCACCCCTGCCATGGGGGCACTCCCTCATGGGCCCACTGCTAACTCACCATGGATTTGGATCCATGCACTCACTTAGAAGCCCATTAGAGCCGATTACGACCTAATAGACCATTCCCTATGACTCCAACAGTTTGAGTTGCTTCTAATGTTCTAAAACATTCATTCATTTAAGTGTAGCATTTAATGCAGGTTGGGATTACATACGTAAGACCAATGGTAGAGTTAAGTGGACACATTGTCAATCAGTATATTTCTATATATACACAAACAAAAATTCTTCTTTTTGATATAATGGTTGCCTCCATCTATGAGGGGGGATCGTTACCATCCCTCGTCTGCCCAACAGAAGCCCCCTTACCTAATGTGCCTTATCCCTCTCATGTGACGATCATGCCCCTCGTTGCCTCCTAAACAGCTCCTGCTGGGGATGTGCGGGGCTAGGCTGACCCAGGCTTAGGAGGATCTGGCCCGGAGCCTGATGTATTCACCCCAAAACATACGTCAGCGTTAAAAACAATGGCGAATTTTGGAATTTAGGTGATGCCAGTAGAAGTATCCACATTCAAAATTTGACTAGTGACAATAATATAGTGGAAACTCGAGTCTACACAATCTTCCTGTCACTGTTACTGACTTTAGGTGTCACGAGGAATAAAAACACAGAAGCAGAAGTTCAGAGACGAGAAAGTAGAGAATACAGATGGATTTGAGATGTAGGGGAACGGTGAAGTCGTCCACAATTTTCAGAACTTATCCACTCACATCACTTTATACGAGTCTGGTCAGAATGTCAATACGCGCTGGCCTTATGCATGCATCGGCTTCAATGGTTCACTGGCACTCTAGCTGCTCATTTGCTAGACTAACGCCGATGAACGAAGGCGACCTCAAGGCAGTGCCGGCGTGGTGTGTCCGAGTGGATTGACCATTACCCTAGGGCTGCTATCAACGTTAATCCCGATGTTGATTAAATGGCATCTTCCATAAAACCCGGCATTAAGGCGTTAACACCTGAAGGAGATCAAACGACGTGTGTTAGAGTGTAACACATCTGTTCTTCAGTCTATATAATAGGAGCCCCAGGGCATCCCCTCTCTTCACCCAATCTCTCTCTCTCTCTCATCCGCGGCTTCCTCAAACTTCCTTTGCTCATGGCTCGCGTCAAAGTGTTCCCCGTCGTCTTGCTGCTCGTTATGGTCGTCTCGCTGCTCATTACCACAAGTAATCCTCCACTGTGTCCATTGGGCATCACTCGGGATTAATTTCATCTCTGTAGGATTTAGCATATTAGAATAGTCGCTAGTAGCTGAACTAAATTAAATCCGTGCGTACATTACACGGCTCTTCCTTATTGTGAATTGATCATTTAACATATAATTATTTCTCCTCAAATAAAGTATAATGTTAATAACATCGCTATCTGTGTCGATGGGTTTCATAGATGTTCGTATCAGGCATCATAGTATTTTTTGCCGTGGGCGTAGGTTCTGCTCGAGAGCTATCGCAGAATGTGGAAGCGGGCCACAGGCTCTGTAGCCGGCGCATAGGGTTCTGCTCTATCTTTCGGAAATGCTCATCCTTCTGCAAGAGATTGGGTTACGTTGGGGGAGTGTGCCAGGGCCATAGTCGCCCTCAATGCATCTGCTACAAGTTATGCAAACCGTAGTCATCGGCCAGGGATGACTGCCAGCCCCCTCAGCTCTGTTCCCAATATGGCTTGCTCATTGTCTGGTATGGAGGGGGGCTCAGGGATTCCGTCTGTAGTGTGCTCCAGAACTAAATAAGTGAGTGTTGCTGTAGACTACAACCTCGTGTTGTATGCGTCTTCTTCATCCTCTATCATCTCCGTTGTCGGTAACAGGTGGTCGGTCGAGTCTCGAGTCCATGGAATAAGCTTCTTCGCTTTAAATATCCCTATCGTTCTTCAAAGTGTGTACTATCATGATACAGGACATCATATAAGAGGAGTGGGCTTTATCCTCAAGAAGTAAGATCGTTGTTGGACTATGGTTCGAAGTAAAAGTAAAAGTTCTGCTTGAAATCCAGGTTAGCCGTTAATTTACACGGACAAAAATAGGTAAGGTGGTGTAGAGGCAGGACAGTCCCGAAGTCCTGCCTGGATATGCCCGACGCTTGGGGGTTGCCAACATCTTGAAGATCTTAAAAGGATCTATGCCTCTGAAACCATCAGGGTGCGATACATAAAATTTTAGGGGCAGCATAAAATTGACGGTGTTGGTATGAATACACTTACAGGAATGACTTTGCTTGTGAGACAGCCATATTCCAGTGGAGCTATAGTAATAGTCAGAAAATGAAGAAGTCACACAATTTTTTTGCAGTGGGTTTCGTACCGTGAACCTTGTTGGCTGCTTGCTTTCAAGGCGGCATTTGCCGAGGGTAGTAATTATCAACGTTTGAGGGTCCATAAGAACTTCAGAGGCTAATATTAAATAACTAATGTATAAAAATGATGGTGTTGACTTGTTTGTAACCCCACAAAGAGCCTAATTTTTGTGAAGCGTCTGAAGATTTCTTTTATCAAGTGACTAATATATCTCACAGGCGAGAATTTTATCCTTTTTTTAGTAATCCTGCAAGATGCGTAAATTTTAAACATGTTGACTTTTAATGGCACTCTAAATACACAATGTGGGATTACGCTATTGATACTGTTAAAGTCGTCGAGAAGATTTTGATTGATGATGGAAGCCATAAAGTAATAAGGGCAAGAGGAGCTAGAGAAACCAGTTATCTCCAGAGCAGTGACTGCCACAGCCTTCCCCGTCGGTGTATCTTCTGGCTCCTCTGCTTCTATTTTGTTCACATGTCATAACTTGACGCGTCCTATTCACTATCATCTCCCCCGCCATCCACTTTAATCTCGTGGGACACTATCCTGCTGACCATGCATCTATTTGCGACAAGCTGTGCCTCCTTGAATAACAACGGATAACCGTGAACCACTAGAACGGTTGTCCACGATTTCCATATCAGAACCTGCCTCATACAAAAGGAAAAGTTGTTCTGGGACAGCTTTACGATTTTAGAAAAGTAATCGTGCATTAGAGTTCCAATGTACTCATATATCCTCGGGAATTTCGCAAAGTTACAGAAATTTAACATTATTGTTAATATATCCATATATTATTATTACTTTTGCAAAAAATAGCATGTCTCTTTGATCGGGCGATTGCACAAATCTAATCTCTATAAGGAACCGGTTCGGCATTTACCGGATTTGGGTTCCTGATGTAGTCCCCTGTATCTTCTTATTCTGCGAGGAGTATTCCGCTCTGTCAGAGCCTTTCGAAGAATCGTGATTGGGGGCTGTGGGTAGCTGGGTTCGGTCCAGGCATTTTAGAATCCATCCCGAAGCCTTATATGCAACCATTATTCACACGTAACGCCAGATGAATGACTTTCCAAGATAGGAGCAGGACAGAAGATGTTGGACGTATAATAAACTTTTTTGCTTGTGAGCGTAGTAGCTATGTGCACAGTTTCCGCTGCGTCAAAGTCTTCCGAAGAATCGTTATTAGGGGCTATGGGTAGCTGGGCTCGGTCCAGGAGTTTTAGTATCCGTCTCGAAGTCTTAAATGAAACCATTATTCACGCCGGATATCTCGGCGCTTAAGACGAATGGAGAAGTCGCAGTTTGAGAAGTCAGCAGAACTATTAATGAAATTTGAATCTGCAGCCTACACGGCTCTAAGAAAGAAAATGAGATTTGTTGACCTTCTGTGATACCGTGAATGACTTTCCTAGATACAAACAGGACAGAAGAAGACGAAGAAAAAAACACACAGTGAGACAGATAGGTGGATTGAGATGAAGCGAGCTTACTGACAGGTGTGGTCGTACTCAGGTCTATCTTATCTATCCACCTGACCAAAACTTAGGTGGGATGTCGCTCGTACACCTGCAGCCGCCTGGATAGCTGAGTATTACTCTAGCCGCTCCTTTATCGGATAAGTTTTTGTTCGATGGCAGGGGCGGATATTTGGGCAACAACTGTCATCAGTGTGTCCCGGCACACTGATCGTTCACCTTCGGCTTCTATCGCGTACAATTTTGATAGGGATATATGGTTCTCGTCTTGTATAAACTGGTATTAGTATTCACAAAGTGTAAACATGATGAACAGCCCATGAAAACAGGTAGTACGACTGTTCCTCTATGTAATAGGAGTCCCAGAGCGGCTTCTCTCTGCATCTCATCTCTCTCTCTCTAACTTCGCCTTTCTCGAGCTTGCTTTGCCCATGGCGCACGTCCAAGTGTTCGCCGTCATCTTTCTGCTCGTAACGGTCCTCTCGCTGCTTACTACCACAAGTGGTGCTCCACTTCATCCATTGGAGACCACTCGGCCGTAATTTGATGCGACTAGAATTCGGGCATATTAGAATAATTTTACTACAGTTTCACCAAATAAATCTGTGCCGAAATTATGCTGGTCTTACTTTCTTCTTGCCGATTAATCTGATGGCAAGATTAATCTTTGCTGCCGTCTAATAAAGTATAACGGCTTATAATGTTGGTCTCTGCCTCCCTACCGATGGGTCTCAAGTCCAAAATAAATCGTACTAAGTTTTCCTGTGAACGTAGGTGCTGCTCCTATGGTGGCGGAGAGTGGAGCCCGCAAAGAGGACCTGTAGAAGTTCAAGGGACCCTGCTGGAGCCCTCGCTACGGTTCCATAGACTGCAGGGCTGAGAGATACAGTTGGGGGAACGTCGCAGTATCTTTCGGCGTCTACTATTCCGTCAACCCCTAATACTGCATCCTGTGGGGGATAGCATACACAATCGGTGGGCTTCGTCCGCAAGAGGATAGATCGTGTTCGGGTCAGTGACAAGGATGCACTCAATTGATCCGATAAAATGGTAGCAAAATATAAAGGTAACGGATCCCTTGATACGGTTTAATTTGTGGAACGATTCCCACGAACTAAAAGGCCAATAAATGAGCTGACTTGAACGGACAGATTTGCCCCAATAAAGCGGCCCAAAGGAGTAAGCTAAATCAAAGGGCACGTTTCCAAAACAAGAACAGCCCACAGAGCGATACAAGGTCCTCCGAGGTGTCTGTGAAAAGAGGCCCCTCCTCCCCTTCTTAGTAACCATTTTGATGTTCTTGGAGAGATTCTAAGGTGGAGATCACATGTGAGGTTCAGATGAGACTCTCCACGGCCAGTATTACGAATTTATTCATTGAGTTCTCGGTGAAAATTCTTTTGTAAACGTTTTCCACAGTTAAGTATTTGCCCTCGTCACCCGTGGGCATTGGAAGCTGACCTTTCAACTACATTAATCTTTTTGTGTCAGCGCCTTTGTTGTGAGTTGATTTGTTCTTCCTTACTCACACTTTGTGACTTGCGCATCTTTGAACTAACATTCCACCAGTCTGAGTCGGGTTTTGCTCCAACACAGCCCTTAGAATTTCTTATGGTTGAAGAGATGGTTTGAATGAAATACGTAGAGGCCTAAGTGATTCTGGTCGACCGAATGACTAGTCCAACTTCCTTGCTGGCAGTTCCATAGCAGATCTTCCTCATAAGAAAGGATTGTTGTATTGGGAAGCTTTTTGCGATTTCATTTACTGATATTGTAACAAGTTGTATTGTGGTCATGTTTTGTAATTTTTCATAGATATCGATCATATGACTTGTTCCTTTCCAGCAGTGACCTTGCTCCCTATCACCATACAACCTCTTTGCCGAAGGAATCAGATGATTTGGGCAGAAACATTAAAATGCAACCATTATTCACACCAGACACCAACTTGGGCTTAAAACAAACTGGTGACTCGGGGCTAGGTCTCTACGCACCAGTAACGATACTCGTGTGGCAGCCCAGCGGCGTCCCCGTGTTCCTTCTCTTTCAAACGCCTCAAGCGAGGGGCGGTCCTGGTTTTCCTCCGTCGACTCTAAGGAAGCGAGTGGCGGAGCACGGTGGCGATCGACAGGAAGACGAAGACGGGAGTTTCCTAGTCACCTTCTCCCGTCGGCGATATGCAGAGTGACCCGAGTTTCTGTGCTCGGCTTCCACCCGTGAGTATCTTTTAATCTTCTTCCGCTTCTTTCCAAGCGCTGTCCTTTCTCTTGCCATCTTTTTCTTGTGCCTATTGATCGATCTATGTTTCTTTCTTTCTTTCTATCTGTGCTGCCGATCCTTTCCTTTCTCGCATTCTCCCTCCTTGCGTCCTTACCCAATACCGGGGGTCGTCTCCTAAGAAAGAGCCCTTCTCCTGGCTTCTCCCTGAAGCTCCTTCTTTCGTAGAACCCCAACCCCTAGGCGCTCATAGTAGCATGATCCTGCTACACCCAATATTCATGAAGTAGAAGAAGGAGAGAATCGGCTGACAGAAACACGACAGATCAGAAACAGAGGTTTTCCCCATGTAGGAAAGGATGAAGAAACTGACAGATACTACCCCGCTCTATCCTCTTGGCTTCTTGAAATTCAATTCGTTCTCAGGGAGAAGAAGAGGATAAAGTGGTGGTGGTTTCTACTTGTGGGGTCTAAGTGGCCTAAGGTGCTCCTTTGATTCTGTGTTCTCTCCTTGTTCGAGTTGATCTCCGTCATCACGAAGAGGTGGGGCCCTTCATGTCTATGAATTAGTTGTAAATAGAAATGAATACTGGTCCATATTCTTCTACCTCGCCACCATTAGAGGGTCTTAAAACCTGATCCGCCATCAGGGTGATTGACATGGCCTAATCGCTACATAATAAATCATGTAAATTAAACTAGAAAATATTATTTTTTATATTTTATAAAATATTTTATAAATAAATAAATAAATTATAATTTGATAAAAGTTTTCAAAAATAGTGAGAAATTCCCAAGTCAATCATATGGATGTAAGATAATATTGGGTAATATTTCAAAAGTTTCCTAAAAGAATACAATTTTTTTGATTTTTAAACTAAATAATAAATATAAAATATACTTAATATATTTCAAAAAAAGAAACTAAGAGTACAAACATTAAAATGACATCATCAACTTGACGAACGTGCAAAATGGAGTTTTGTCTAATGACTCTTACCTAAGTGATTACAAATGCCTTAATTGATCAATTAAGTTATGTAAAAGTCAAAAAAATATAATTTAATGAAGAAGAGTTTCAAAATTTAAAATCACACAAAGTATCTCTAAATTAAATAAATATTATTTTTTAACTAAGAAAGACGAAGTTTTAGTTTTATGACAGTGATCATTAAAATTAGGTGTTTGGAATAATTATCATATAATGTCCATAGCTTTAAAAGCTCTTTTGAATAAAGATGACGTAATCAATCTCTAAATCTTTTTGTGAAGTTGAGAAATCAATGAGGTAAGTTGAAAAATCATCTCCGATAGTTGTCATCTAGTAGAGTGAAAAAATGACGACTTTATGAATCTTTGGCGACTATCACATGATAGAGATAAGTTGAATAAAGATGGGGTGCATCTTAAAGAGCTTCATTCGTAGGTCTGTGTAACAAGAAGACGTTCTTCATGACATCTAGTACACTCTCAAGAAGTAGTAACTCGTCTTTTATTATATCGTCTTTTTCCTAACAATAATTTATTTGTTGATCAATTAGAGATCTTTTACTCGATACATTTGTGATCCTTTTATCTAGAATTATTTAGTAATTTTAGTAACCATGCTCTATGAATTACATTGACAAGATTTTCATCGGTACTTGAGTGATTTTAGTAACTTAATTATTTGTCGACTATCTACAAGAAATTTATAATTTAATTAGATAAAAATATAAGGTTTTACTCTAATAGGATTCAAATTCTCGTTGGTCTACTACCTACATGAGAGAGAGTAAAATAAATATATGAATATCTTTACAAAGTGATGTCATAAGGGTATTTACTTCTCATAAATAAGAGGTAACTTAGGTATTAAAATCATTGAAAAGCTTCCATGAAGTTGTGATGTCAGTTTAGTACCACATCGATTATTTTCCTAGTTTTGAGATATATATAATAACATAATTTTATTATCAATAAGCGTCTTTCTCACATGTGTACAACTATTCTTTATGTCATGTTCTGCTGGCCACTAGTGACATAGAAGGAGAGACACACACATGTCCCTTACTTATTCTTAGCCACTTGAACTCTTTGTTTGCGACTCTACTTTATTGTGCTTCCGACTCACTTGTGTGCTTGGTTGATTGGTGAGTCCCCTTTTTTTTATTTTTCTATTTTATTTTATTTTTTTCAAATCTCAAAAATTATATTATAAAAAGTATATAATTTTTTATAAAATCATATAATTAGCTAAAAATTCATATTAACTAATTAAAAATTAATTTTTACTATTTAATATAAATATGTCTATTATCATGAGTTAAGGTGTAAATATATATTATTAATTAATTATTAACTAATGATAATGAAAACTTATTAGTGATAATAAGTAGGGTCATCCTCTCTTCTTTTCTGTCAACACACCTTGCCAATATTGACTCAGTTCAAAAATTGTGAAGCTAACATTCAAGTGTAGGTGTGTTCCTTTTTCATCAATCTACACAGAGGTGCTCCAAGAATGGGATCATATTCGTGAAAGATCTATTTAAGGATGGAGGAGAGCACACTAATCGACATAAGATAGCTTACACCGATACACTCTAGTCGTCTTGCTGTTTCTGTCGAACAGAATGGTGCCAATCTTACCGGGGTCTCTTTGTTTCTAGTCTGAATCAAGACGTGCTCATTCTAAATAAATCAGCTTTACTTGGAAGTCGTCGTGGCTCGCAGCGCCCCGGAGGCACGCTGAGCCATTATGAGGACAGAAGACCCTGTCCTCCCTCCCCATTCGTCTCTGAACTTCTGAGCTGCTGGATGTGACTGAAAGAGGGCGCAATGCTCGATCATTTGCTTCAATTTCTCGCGCTTCGATCTAAGCTGACTCTCACTCTTTCTCCAGCAACGTGCGAGAAGCTCGTTGGGTCTCACGTTATTGAGCGCGAGACTGATGGTCTATGTAAGTTTTTTGCTGACCAGACCCGTTGTGTTCCTCCTAGCTCTGACCGGGAGGCGTACAAAAAGCAGCCTCGCCTCCAATGCGCTGAGGTTTATTCACTCCGTGACTCTGTTTTCCTATCTGCCCTAGGAGGTGGTGACACTGGACGATGGATCGGCGGTACTTCATGGAGCGGTGGACTTTGTCCGGCGGAGCACCCATCTTCCGCCTGTCATGCGGCCGCTGAAGGGGCAGGAGCAGACAAGTGATGTAAGCTCTGGGCTGACTGAGGAGATGGTCCGGATGCTCTTGAGGCCGAGGAAGTATGTGCCCTTCACCGCCTGCGCCATCGAAGAAACCTGCTGCATCTGCCAGGTACGTCGGGACGCCGAGCTGCGAGCACGGCTTCCACGCTGCCTGCGTTGGGAGATGGTTGACGCAGAGGAATGCCTGTCCGATCAGGAGGAAGACCCGCTGCGTGAAGACCCCCCCCCCCAATCTTAAACCTCATATGGCCCTTGTAACTATCTTCAATGTTTTTAAGCATTACATGATTCCAGTAAACGTGTCTAATTAGTAGCCTTAATATTTGGCTTACCTAATATGGACAGCTTTCATATTACTGGCCAGCTCATTATTTCAATAGGAAATATCATTAATTTGAGGACCTCCTCATATCTTAAAGTTATTATTCAATTAATATTCACTAATATTTAAAAATTCTGAAAAGTATGTAACCAATGTGAGTTCAATAAAATAATTTTCTATCAACATTGATCAGATTAATAGTTTCAAACAATAACATCTAGTGCACTAATTAAACAGTAACATCTATTGTATTCATGTGAAATCAGATTCAGTCATCATTACTTTTCATCATTGATCATTTGTACATTAGCTGTAAACAAAGTAATGTTCTAAAGCAAAGGAATTCATCATAATAATAAAATTTAAAATACAATAATCAAAGAGATTTCTTGAAGTACCTTTTGGACACTAAATATCATTAAGAAGTATTATATTTGAAATGAAACTTTCTTAACGTACACATTTTAGAGTTTTTCATGTGTATTTAATACGTTAGAAATTCATCAAAGTTTTTGGCATTTCTTTATCTCATGTGTATTTGTCATTCCCAAGAAATATGTCCATTTCATGCTCTAACATAAGTTCCCATAGGCGACAAGCAGCCATGTAAGACCACACAGAATGAGAAGCTTTTGAGGTATACCCACTACTTTCACTTCTAAGGCCATAAGACATTCAATTATGATGCTTCAGTATTTTAAATAGAATATTTTAATGGCAGCTAAAAAAATCAGGATTTTTCCCTATATAACCTTTGCTAGATTTAAAAATATTGGTGGGCTTACCAAACGAGAACTCACTTCTTTATTTTAGATTAATAACTGAAGGAAACAAAATCTATAATACCAACTTCACTCATATAAAAAACTGTAGATGGCCAACATACCTTAGCTTCCTTTAATCTTATATATATATAGACATATATATATATATATATATGTATTACGGCCATAAATGAATGTAAGTAAATAACTAAACTCTAAATTCAAAGTAGAATGAGTCCTGATTTGTAGGTGTTTAGCCTTAATCATCTTAGACACTTCTTCCTCTATTTTTGTCATTAGAGATGCTTGTGTGAAACATTAGAGATAGGTGTTCAGACTTGTAATAGTTTGGTGCAAACTCTTTGCAAGAAATGTCCAATGAAGCTCACTCTAGATTTAGATAAAATACCACTCTCATTCTTTGCTTGACTCTCTTCTACTTTGGATGACCAGATGTTTGTATATATTTAGATATCTAATTAGGTTAATTTTGATTTCCATAATGATGGGGCACGGTTGCTGAATATATCAAATCCTATGCATGGCATTTGAAGTGTAAATGGGTTTGTTCTAATTGTAAATTCCATAAAAGTTTATTCCTTATGAATTTGATTATATAATTTCTTGAATCATACTTTTCTTCTAGAGAGAGCTTTCCAATGGGTCCATGCCTCAATTAGTAACACCAATTTTCACATAAAGTTATTAACTTTAATTGCAGGCATATATAATGATTTTTTAAAACTTAAGTAAAATTATTAATATCTGTATACATTGGTTGTGACCTTTTTCATCTTCAGTAAAGTTGTCTTTAAGTAGCAAACGTCTTAAAATACTTGGTAATAAATATTATCTATAAAAAACTCTACCACATGAAGCTACTCACATCCTCTTCCATGGATATGGTCATCATCAGAACAACTCATACTCGCCAAAACCTTTCAAATGAACATAAGAGACTCACTCCTCTCTTCAAGATTCACAACTAGAGGGGGCAAAACAGATTGACACCAGCTTATCTAATCAAAATTAGGGCTGTACATGAACCTCAAGTGCTAATGTACTCCAACTATTTAGACTAGAACATGTAATTCCTCCAGACGTTCAGTTCCTTACTTCTTACAGGTTTTAATCCTTTGTTTCCTTTTTTGGATAATCTTTTTTTGCATATTGATCTTGGTATAAAGTGACATAAAAGGTGAATTTTAATCCGGGAGCGCAGCGAAATTAGGTAAGCCTTTCAAGAAAAGGGAATTGTGAAGACGTCCCGGGGTGGGGCGGCGTGGTCACAACGGCTAGATTCCCCTGCGCCACTGGGTTAACAGATTCGCGCCTTTTTTTGCGTATCCGCCCGTTGCGGCGGGATACGCAACGGGTTCGGCTTTTAATAGCTCCTCCCGCCATAGTCTCTCTTACCGATTTCCTTTCTTTCTCTCTCTTTTCTCTCTCTCTCTCGCTCTCGCTCTCTGCCCGCTCTGTAGCAGCCCCAGCGGCGTCCCCTTGTTCCTTCTCTTTCGTTCTTCTTGCGCTTCCGGCGAGGGGGGTGCTGGTTTTCCTCCGCCGACTCCCTGGGAGCGAGTGACGGAGCACGGCGACGATCGGCAGGAAGACAAACAGAGGAGTTTCCGAGCCACCTGCTCCCATGGGAGATATGCAGACTGGCCCAAGATTCCGGGCGCAGCGTGGGCGCGGCTTCCACCGGTGCGCATCTTTTTCACTCCTTACGCATATCTCCGAGCCCTCTCCTTCTTCTTGTCATCTCTTTCTTGCCGCATATCGCTCTATCTATCTGTCTTTCATCTTTCTTTGCCGATCCATTTTTCTCTCGCACTCCCCCTCGCCCTCTTCGCGTCCTTCCACTTCTCAGAGAGAGACTCGTCCTCGCCTCGTGGGCCTCTCGTTCCGTTCCCCCTCTCTCTGTCTCTCCAAGAAAGAGCCCTTCTCCTCGCTTCTTCTTGTTCAGGCTTCTTTTATTTCAATTCAAGCTCGAGGAGAAAAAGAAAAACCTGGCTGCGATGGGTGGCACTTTCAGGGTCTGAATTGTCCAGGTTGATTGATCCCTTGATTTTTTCCTTGTACCGATTAAACTCGTATGAGCGCTTTCATTCCATTGGATGCCCGAAGGACTGCAGCCTGATTTTCTGCCGTCATCATCGATCAAAATCAGAGGATGATTTCTTTACCAGACTCCCTTCCTCCGCCGTTGATCCGGCTTGGAAACGGGACCCCCGGCATTGTTCAAGTGCGACCAAGTGCAGAATTCCTAGGGGAATAAAGTGACATTCCTTTTTTTTCACCTTGCGCAGTGGTGCTCCGGGAATGGGATCACATTCGAGGAGGGTCTATTCAAGAACGGTTCAGAGCACGCTAAACGACGTGAGTTCTCCCACCCTCGCAAACGCCGATCATCTTGCTGCTTCTGGTTCTCACAGAACGTCGGCTGTCTCATCGGGTTCTCTTTGGTTCTTGTCTGAAACAGGACGTGCTCATTCTGAACGAGTCGGCTCTCCTCGGGAGTCGCCGAGGATCACGGAGCCCCGGAGATATGGAGAGGCGTTATGGCTTCAGACAAGGCTACCCGCCTTCCTCTCACTTTTCTGCATCGGAGGACGAGCCATGGGCTTCCATCAGCGGGTTCCAACACATGAGCCCAAGTGAGAGGCCAGGTAGTCCATGGGAGGAGGCATACCCGATAGGCTTGGAAAGATGGTGGCTTCCAGAGCAGATGATGCCAGCTCAAACCATTGATCCTGAAATCCGGAGTTTGGGCATTATCAGCATGATTATCCCCGGAAACGTGGTACCTATTTCGCTCTTTATTCCCGGTTCTGGCGTTCTTCCGCCAGCAGCTCCGATTTGGGTGCCCCAAGAAGATCCAATGAGTCAGTATCTAGAGATCTCACCAGAGCCTGCTTCCGGGGCCTCTCCCCGCGGTGTCATGGGGCCCCCCTTGAACTTGTGGAATCATCAGGCAAGGTCTATGATGACATTTGAGGTATTTTTATGAATCAATCTCGTTCAATTTTGTGTGTTCTGAATCACGTTTCTTCTCATTCTCATCATTTGTATGTTATGATTTATAATTATAGACAATTTTTGTGTTGCCATGACTAGCATTAAGCTGAAATGATTGCTGAACTCGCAGAATTATTTACTGGCCTCAACCCCTCGCCCTTCCTCCCTCCTCAAAACAAACAAAAAAAGGAAGCAAAAGAAAAAGAAGAAAAGCTAAGAGCGTTGACCTGTGACTGGGATTTGATGTAACAAGGTCTCTGAAAATTATGATTCCCGTTCTCTCAATCAATGAGCTTCTAAAAGATGCTGAAACTTTCTCTGGAACTACGCACATCTTGGAAAGTCGCCAAAAGCTGCCGATTTACCCGTTCAGATCTGATTTCGCACTGTTTGCCTTAAAACCTTACAGTAGATGCGAGTTTTTTCCAACTTTGCATCATCTGAGGATCAATAAAAATTCATGGTGGAGCATCCTAAATTCTTTGATGTTACTGCTGCAGCCTTTTTTATTGCTTTCTACCCCCATAAGGGAACATTAATTGGGTTCACTCTTATCATCTGGTCCACTCTCCCAACTAGCAGCACTGTGTACCATGTTTCTTTAGTCTTACTTTGTGTGGTTTTACTATGCAGCAAAGCCCAGATTCTGCCGACTTCATGCAAATGGAGGAATACATGATGATTGACGTGAGACCTCATTAAACATGCTCTGATTCAGACTACTTACTTGTGTTGGTAACATACATTTTCTTAGCATTCCATCCCTCTTTCGGCAGGATGCAATGACTTTGGATGAGTCTGTGTACCATAACATGCATCAAGACATGCGCCTCGACGTCGATACCATGTCATATGAGGTTAGATGGTCAAACCCAGTCATTTCTAGCTCCTCCTTGTCCAGGATGCATGTAGTCAACTCCTCGTGGGAAATTTTTATTCGTTCTTGGCAGGAGCTGTTGGGACTGGAGGAGCAGATTGGGAATGTGAGCGCGGGGCTGACTGAGGACACTGTGCGGAAGAACTTGAAGCGAAGGAAATACCCATCTTCTGCAGCCTACATGACAGAATCATGCTGTATCTGCCAGGTAAATTACCAAGAGACCATCTTGCTATCCATGTATCTGGCAATTTTGTCGGGTATTTACTACTTCCTTTATGCATGGCAGGAAGATTATGCCAATGGTGATGATCTGGGGGTGTTGACTTGTGGGCATGACTTCCATGCTTCTTGTGTTGGAAGATGGCTGGTTCTGAAGAACGTCTGCCCAATCTGTAAGAAGACAGGTTTGTCTACCTAAATCACGACTACTTTTGGGCTTCTTTCCTCCTTCACTCCATCTGTCTGCTGTTTTTTTCTTCCAGTGTATATCTATATACATACATATACTTGTGTGAAGATCAAATTTATGAATCGCTTGGCTTTTATTCTTCATTTAATTCCATCAGTACGGTCTCGCCTTGTTTGTTGTCTGGGTTAGAGGGAAATTATGACTTGCTTTTCTTGCTGATTGTTCACTTTGTATTGGGGGCGTCTATCCTGCTTAGCATGGTTGCTGATTATCCGTTAGCAATGTGTTTATTTTGGCTTTAAGTAGGTACAAAACGTTTTGTTCCAGTCATTCTTTCTGCACATCGGCTTGCTTCAAGGCATATTTTCTGTAATATTTTTCTTTAATAATTTGCGTCTCTTAGACTCAACAAGGCATCATAAAATCTGCAAGAAAGGTATCATCTTAGTTAAGTGACAGTATGGATGGAGATAGTACTGCAAACTTAGTTCTTTACCTATTTCCTTGCCTCCCCCCACCGCAAACTTTCTCTCTTTTTGGCTGCACCACCATTTCTTCTTGAGAGCTGACTCTCTGATTGCAAGCAGCCAAGATGCCAAGATGCCAAGATCAAGTCAATGTTCACTCGAGTCTACCCAAGAAAGAATCTACCACTAGAAATAACAGGTATTTATCTGAGTATAGTTTGCTTCAGAGCCTTGCAGATGGCCCCGAGGAACAACTAGCAATGAAGAGGAGAACAAAATTATGTGCGTGGTGGTGGGTCTCCATGGCTGCCTTACATCCCTGCGCCACAGGATTACTAGATCCAAACTCTGGGGGAAAGAAAAACTCGCCTTTTCACCAGTTACAAAGGAGTTTTGGAAGATACTCGTAATACAATGGCTTTGGTCTTTTAAAAGGCCTTCTCACCTATATTATGTATAAACTTTGCTCTGCTCGTCGCTGCCACCACTGACTGTAGTACCCTTTTTGTCTAAGTGATTGTGTACGTTTCTTGAGTTCCTAGGACTGAGGTTTCTAAAGATATTTCACACCCTATTACTATATAATGATTTGTTCATTAGATCTATAGTTTATACTCTAATTACTATATTCTTCGCCACTTTCCTCAGCTTCACTAAATCATTAGTAGAATCCGTACTATATTCAACAGATTTAACGAAGTTAAGATGTTACTCAAGATTTCTCTATTAGATTAACAAATTTAGAGGCCAAATCAGGGAAGAGCTCAATCCTCAAGT